CTTTATATTTCTATTTTTTTATTTTCCTGTTATTTACTTTTTTTTTTTATTATACTATTTTGCCTATTAGCATTGCACTTAATTCATTTCTTTTTATACGGCGGTTCGAACTTGACTTGGGCATGCATTAATGTAGTAATTTTGTAGATATCTGCGTATTCCGCCGTGGTTTCTAGGTCGACGTAGAAAAGGCATGTTGGTCTTTTGTCAATCTATGGCGAATGTTATGAATGTTCCTGACTTTGTGACAAGTTCCTCAAGTTCACTTTGAATACTCTCTGCTTCAACAGATGGTGTACGTGCCTAAGGACAACTCGAAATGCTCTTTCTTTTTTAGTTGGTACGTGTGGTACATGCTTTTTTTTCATTAGGAATTTTATAACTGCTCTGTAGCTTTCTATTGTCTCTGGGTGACTTTTACTTTTCATTGTGTACATTTTATATGTAAATTTATTTTGCCCGATGGCTTCACGTAGTGACTCTGTGAACGAGGGCACTTTTACAACATTAGGAATAAATATTAGGCGGATGTTTTTGTTGAGCTGTATCTTCATTCATATCGTTTGCTTGTGGCGTCTTTTCCGTGTTGTCGGAGTTGTTATATATGCTTTGCAGATGCTTCAAACCTGTTGCTTGTTTTTATTTCACTCGTATTTGACGCTTGCTGTGGGGTTACTATACCACCGCTGTCACGTCGTTTACGCTTAGCAGAGCGAACAACTTTGCCATTCAGGTAGGAAAGTAGAATTGCACTGTACCTGATTTGTTGATGTCGATGGAATTACACTGTTCTCCGAGGAACGCGGCTGTAGCATTTCTGTGTCTTCTGCTTGCGATAACTGCGTATTGTAAAGTTGCGTCGATTGTTCATAGCGTTGAACTTTAAGCTGTGCTTCTTGAGGTCTTGTTGCAGTTGTTGGATTTGGCACTGCGGTTTGATCGATTAGGCAGTTGTCTCTGTTGCTGGTGGTATTCAGCCAAGCTTGTATTTCAGGGGCCGCTGGTGTGATGTAGTTCTCTTCCGCCATCCTTGGCCCCGGTAACGCAGGGCGGGGGCGTGTAATCGCTGCCCTGATCGAAAGCGGACTTTCACTGACACGCTGGACACACAGTATCACCGATTATTAATAACTGATGTACTTAGGGAGAAACGGGGCGTCTCACTGATAAATGCGCGGAAGCAGCTGCACACACTGGACACAAAACTATCACACGTTTGATAGTAACTGTTTTCACTTAGGAGAAACGGGGTCTCACTGGTAACGCGCGGAGCCGGAGCATCTGCACGTCCGACCTGCACCGCTGCGGCTTGAAGCTTGGCGGTATGAGTGCGACTATTTTTCAGGTTGTTTATCACTGAAGTCTCAGAAAGGTTGGGCTGAATGGGAATAGAAGGATGCTTCTGACGGAAAAGTATAATATATCAAGATATCAGATTGACATTAAAAGTGGATTCCTTGAAGGAGTTTGATTTTCTAAATGTTTAGTAAATATGTCTTGATTAGAACGTACACAATTTTTTGTACGAATTATACGAGTGAGCTCGACGAACTAATGTTCGTTTTAAAGATTGACACCAAAGTAAACACGTGAAGATTTTCAACAAGCACAATGAAAGTTACTAATAACACAATGAAGTGTAAAAATATTCCGAACATTAGTTTTACGAACGGTGGGCGTGCTAATGTAATTGTGAATATATGTAATTAATATGTATTCCTTTTTTGTTAATAATGTTTCAAATTCATCATGTTTTTCTTGTTTTCTGGTACTTATAATGAAAACTCCCTAGGTCAGAAGAAATGTTTACAAACATTTATTCTGCCCCGCGGGAGCAAATGACGTACTACTCCTGTCCCGATTTAGGTGGCCTAGAAGTAGAGTTCTAATCCCCATCGTAGAAAAAATACATTAATTAACTTTTGCAAATTGTTTCTTATTCAAATGTTATTTTAGCTTACTTTTTAAAGAACTAATTGTTTCTTTCTTGAACATTCTAGCTCTCAAGATTCACGTCAGTTCAAGCACAAAGGCCATTTTGGACAAGTTTCAATCATTTAATTTGGAACTCAGAGGCGAAGTGGAAATGAAGGTGAGTTACAAACAAGTAGCGCTTAAAACGTTACGAGAATTATTTTATGTATACTCACTTGAATTAACTATAGCTTATGAATTTGTAATAGGCATGATAAATATGGCTCTGTCACCATACTTGCCTTCCTTCCTAAAAGTTTATAAACAGTATCTAACAAAAAAATTACTTATTTCCTCCTAAATCTTCAGGTGTTAAGGAACACATCAGAATAGGTTACTTTCTTCATTGGCTTTAAGCACTTAGTGGCATGTTCTTCCATAATTAAATACAATAGTATGTATCACCTATTTCACTCGAGGAATTAAAACTAATAGTTTTTAACTATACATACAAAATGCCCTAATCAGGGCGGTGTACTTCAGAAAGTTTATAGCTTTTTCTATCCGATTTTTCTTACCGCTTCTCCTTACTGGTCAAACATAAACTCATCAATCTTAGGTGGCGGTATATTATATCGATCGCTGTGTCGCATGTAATTTTAACATAGTAGCTTTCAGTTATTTTCAATATTTGGCGCATTTGGAACTCTGTTGGACACAATATCACTCGTGTAATAGTCCTATTAAATACCAGTTGTGCTTTGGAAATTCTCAAATAAATCCCCTCCCCGCTTCGCGAGTCGGGAATTTATCGATAATTTTTTCAAAGCACTCGTGCTATTACCTATGATAAATTTTTTCCAACACGTGTGCCACTCTTACAACTTATATTTTCTATTTATATTGATATGTATGTGTAACCACTATTTATATTCACTTTTTTTAAAAAAGGTTACTAAAATTTTATTTTACGGATATTAGAAATTGAACGTCTTTAATCTATGAAGAGAAGGCAATGAAGATATTTCTGGACAAAATCTCAAATATTATCTTGATCATCATATCATAATATTCGCTTGAAAATTTTACATTTCGATATCAAATCTTCCGTTTAACTTTACGTTTCGACATACTATGTACTGAAGATAAAAGGCAGCTACAAAAGACAACTCTGGAAACGATGTTGTCTCGCATATTTCTTCTCGTTGTCGTTACGCCACAAAGTTTTGAGTCCGTGTGCTAATGCTTATCCATGTTCTAATGAACATACACTATGATACTGCCAACACACTCTATGATAATGTCAACTTTTGCTATGCCAAAACATCCCTATTCAAATAGCATGCAATCCCAGCTATGCCAATACCAACTGTGATAATAAACTCCACAGGAATAAATTCTGAAACCATTAACATATTATATCTGCAATACACATGCAGTTTTTTAGTCAAATTATTACACGTGAATGTACATAAAATAGTTGAATCTCAGCTGAAAGTGCCTAATATTTTTCGGATCCATTTTATAAATGCCAACCTTGACATGGATGGTAAACCCGTCTTCCGAAAAACATTTGCTTTTCGGCCTAAGTGAATTTCGATCCAGAGTAATAGAAATTTTATCTATTTTCTTTCTCCCTTTCTGTAGTTTTGATATGAAAATTAGTAATATTAAAACTATGTAGGGGAAGGCGTTGTACCTTGAACATGTGTGTATCCTGGACCTACAGAAATTTAGGCTTCACCTCTTGGGATAGTTTAAAATCAAACTCTTGGGATAGTTTGTTGACTTACACTGGCAAGTTATTAAGGAAACTGTAAATACTTTCCTGTGAATACTTTAAGGATTACCCTCTGTTAGTTCTTCTGCGTTTCTACTGACTACTGCAGTGCTTAAACAAAATAATTTTTAACAAACAAATTTAAGATGTGAATAATATAGAATATATTATTCACAACTTAATATATATATATATATATATATATATATATATATATATATATATATAGGATATATAAATATCCTTCTCCAGATGAATTTAATGGTCTCTGCAGCGAGACACAAACTAACTTGTAGTTGATGAGAGTTGCACTTTTTTGTAAAAAAAAATAAAACTACTTTTCATTTATTGAAAGTACTTCTTTGTTTTCTCTGACCACCCCATTTGTTTTTAATATTTAATGATAGTAAAGTCATTTAAAGCATACCTTTAGCTCCAAAATCATGAGTTTAAAACAAGTTTAAGCATAATCGAAAATGAATTATTGCATTTTTGTGAAATATTACGAAGTTTTGTACGTTGGTCAAAGTGTTGTACCTTGGAGTAGTTCAAGATACACTGTGGATAAAATAAATATAACAATATAAGTTTTCATTATATTCAATTATTAAATATTTTTATCTATGTGAATACATTTTTTGTGTATGTGCCGGGCCCTATAGACTCAAAAACTACCCGATCTATTTAGCTGAAATTTTCGAGTTTTCTTGTCAGGAATGTTTAGAGATGGATTTGGCGGATATTAAATAATAAGGGTGTTTATTTAATGATAATCGAAGACTGGATTTATGCACATTTCGACTTCTCCAAACGGCTGCGGTGTCAGCATTCTGCACCATTGCTTCCCTGGAAGTCTTAGGAATCGCGTGATGTAGTTTTGACCCTTTGGTTGCCTGTTGCCCGAATTGACACTAGGTAAAAAGGTAGGTCAAACTCTACCACTAGAGAAGAAATCTAGCAGCCTGGCAATCTAATAGGTAAATTACCTGCGTCTTTGCAACACGTCTCTTAGCCCTTAGGCATTAGGCTGGAGAAATCTTCCTCACCTTCAGTGTTTGTTTTTCGTCTCGTCACGTCACAGTCAGTTAGTTCCTTTTATCCCTTCGGCCAAGATATCGGTGCAATTGCACCGAGAGATTCATGATACTAACAGGTAACATAGTTCCCAGACGGTCAGCCGTCTAGGAATCTGTGGTGTCTAGAGTTGTTTAACTACCGTGACTTCACGGAACGTAGTTAAGGAATTCAGCTAATGACGTCGGCTTTTCGGTGGTTTCTCCGCTCAATACCAAGCAAATGCTGAGTCAGTACCTTAATAAACGAGTGAGGGACCGCGCGTAATATTTCCTTCCTCATCCTTGTCTTCTTCATCATACACACTTGCAACCCATACCCGACCCCATATGACGAGAGCTTAGAATTTGTCCGGAAAAACTAAATAATCAAGCAATCAATCGACTGCTGTTAAAATTGTATTTTGCTATTCAATATCGATTTTTATTTGAATTTTGCCATATTGTAGTTTGTGATGCAAGATATAAAAATGTGATTACGAGTCCATTTTCATTTTATCTCGTTATAAATTTTGTGGTCCTAGATACAACATATCTAGGACCAAAGTACAACACTAATGTAAAACAAAAAATAATTTCTTTATTCAAAAAAATGCATGAAGAAATAATTCACAATCACTCAAAAAATATATGTATAGTAAAATACTTATCAAATGTTTGACTCTACATCATTCTTAATATTAAAAATTCAAAAACACATGAGTAAAAAATTAAAATATTAAATAAGGTCCATGAAACACCACCTTCCCCTACATCTTAGACATATAGATGTCCCAAAAAGCACCCTTGAACATTGTTAGAATTAGTGATTAGACTGCTAAGATAAGATATAATTACAGAAGATTCCTTGCAATACAGAACATAAGGTGACACAAATGTCCATTGTGCCAAGATCCCTAGATGAACCCCTAAAGGTCTTAGTTTAAATTGAATATTGGTTGTGTAGATTACTTAAGCTGTTAATGGTGTCAAGCCATAGATCCAATGACCTTGGTTATGAACAAAGATAACCACAATTAGCCAATAGTCAGTAGGTTTCACACATTTCCAAACAATTGCAAAGTAGGAGCTGCTTCTTGCATGTGATTACAGCCTTGGGAACACTGAATGAAAGTTACACCATTGATAAATTGTTAAACGTAAAATGCATTGCCTAAAATTTATTTGATTTTCTGTCATATTTTCCCATGTTAAGTCTTGTGATGTTGAAGGGTGCCATTTTGGGTCATTCTGTTTAATATATAACATAGTAGCTTATCTGTAGGTGTAAGTCTGAAATCTATGTAAAAGAAATTGAATTTGAAACTTGGTATTTAAATGCATTTTTTCTTTTAATTAGGGGAAAGGGAAGCTTACAACCTACTGGCTAATCGGAGAGAAAAAACCACCTGTAAATCTTACACCAGCAGTGGTGGTTACAACAACTATTACAGATAGCTCTGTAACTACATCACAATCTATGCTTCATCCTCCTTTGAAATCTACATCATCAGTGCCAGCCACTCAGAATTCAGTTATAGAAATGTCTTCATTAGGTGGTACTAGTAAAAGCAACAATGGTTTAAACATTACCAACAGCACCCCAACAGTAAATATACAAACTGGAATCACAAGCAGTTCTATAGGTTTAGCAAAATCTGGTACCAGTAATAATTTAAACCTGAGCTCTTCCTCAAAGATATCTATCTCTGAGACTAATCAAAGCTCTCAAGGTAACAATGTATCTAGTGTAACAACCCCATTGCTTTATCCCACAGCTCAAGATTCAAATGTGTGAATCAATATTAAAGATGCAAGTGAGATATTTATATGAATGTTATGTATGATGTGAATGTAATTTAATATATGAATTTACATTTGAAACGCATCAAAACATTATAAAATTTGTGTTGTCAAAAAAATTATTCATGTTATCAATTCAGATTAGACATGGCATCTAAAAGATCTGCAATTATAATCCTATTACTGATGAAATTATATATAAACATCAAATTGTTTATCATCTAGAGATGTCTCTATGTTATAATGTACTACAAATACATATTTCAGTAAATAATCATGTTTATGATATTTGTATATCAATGTGAGTATATTCATTTTTAATAGAAGTAGTTACATAGACTTTCTTTAATATATATATTTTCTACCTCAAAGTACATGAAGTACATTACTATCAACTTTCTACAAAACAGTAAAATGGCTGTGGTCTACCTCTAAGGTGGTAAAAGTAAGATAGGAGTCTCAGATACTCCTTGAAGGTCTTGTCTGTTTCATATTAATACCAATTATAAATTTTTCTTAGGCACAAGGAAAATACAACAAATTATCCTTGAATAGTGTGTTTGTCAGTACTGTATACTTTCTCTTTTACTGAGCTCATTAAAGCAATTAGAATCAGTTCTCCTCTTAGTTATTCACATTATACCTAAATATACTAATATGAGATTCATAGAAATGTTTTGTTAACGTCATTTTATGCATTTTATTTCTTCTTGGGTAACCAAAATTGAAATTTCAGAAACAGGCAGACCAGTACAGCGAGGTACTGATCACACATTATTTTCATTCAAACTGAAAGTCTAACAAACCTCTAAATTTGAAAATGCCACATTGACAATAGCATTTTTATGCAGTTCATGTTCTTTTCTTAAAATTAGCTGTGTTATCTCAAATATCTTGTATTCTTATTGAATTTTAACCCAGAACACTTATAAACAACTGTGAAAATAGTTTCTTCTTTTACACCCTAGTGAAGATATATTTCATAGGTAGGCTTACATGTATTTTTTTATTAACTACTTCCTTCAAAGATTTACTGTATTCTTGTGTACTTAAAATAACAGTTTGCAAGAGCACATTATATTTGAGGAATGCAGCTACTCTACTTTCATAAAACCCATAAAACTTTGTGTCAGAACACCTGACTATGAATTACTTAAGCAAATAATTAAAATCCTGTTTTAAATCATATGCTACATGGTATTTAAAATGTCAAGTAGGCTACAACTTGACTCACAAATATTCCTTTTATCTTTTATAGTATTTACAAAAGCATAAAAAATGTGTTTACATGGCCTAAATCTTCTCTTTTATACTTGTTGCACATTCACGTGTGTTCATGTATGTACACATGTAATATTCATGCATTTGTATATATACATATAGATACTACTAAACATATGGTATATACCAGGGCTGCTCAAATGCAAGAATTAGGGATAGAGTGCCTGCAGTTGCTGCTGCAGTGGCCCGCATATCACTCACTTTTCACTAGACTGAGCCAATCACACCCAAGCATCTTCCTCCCTGTTGGTCGGACTCAACAAGCCGTAGACCCCATTACTGGCTCACAGATAAGCGCAGGGCCAGGGCGTGCCAAGTGAGCCGCCCACTTAAGCAGTGCTGTTATATACCTTTCTTTAGTATTTGCATATTGTACACAAATCTGCTGTTCGCAAGAAAGCAAAATGAATAGCCACTATAACCATACACCACAATCTCAAAATGACTGGAGGTGAGTTAATTTTCTTATTGTTTATCAAATGATTAATATTGAATAGATGTAAAATTTGAATTGCATTGTGTGTATGCTCATGTTCATGTGTGTGTGCACATGTGCATGTATGCATTTGTGTGGGTGCATGCATCTGTGTACATGAGGGCATAATGTGTTACGGCGAGAGGGTGCAATGAAAGAAATGTAAAATACCACTATAACTCAAAATTTACATTTCCTTCATTCTGTCAACTTCTCATATCTTGAACATTCAGCTGAACTGGAAAAATACCAAATTTTGATCATCTCAGTTTTACTATTTACTATTTTCAATATTTACTTTATTTTTATTTAATTGTACTTAAATTTGTAACTTACTTTATTTTTTACTCTCAGCCTTAAATTGCTGCCAAAAATATTGGTTTGTTTATTATTGTGTTGTCATTTTAGTGTTCCTCATGTTGAACAGTTCCATTAACATTTAAAAAAGTATACTACAAGAGTCATGGGCAAGAATTCTTAAACATGGTAAAACCATTGTGTCTTTATCTTATAAGAAAAAAAGAGGAACAAGAAGAATAATGTACAAATTTTAGAAATTCTATTGAAGCACCCAATTTTACAGGTCAAGTTAAATAATTTTCTGTATTATATTAAATATTGATATTTTTTTTTCTAGTTTAATTACTTTCATTTGCTGAGGAAAAAGTAAAGTATCAAAACAAATTAACATAAGGTCTGGTAAATAAGAAGTTTGGTAGCCAATAGACAGCAGACAGATATATTTTACATAATTCTAACATCTCATAATTTATTTTCTGAACAATCACTAAGAAGCATCAAAAAAATGTGCTCACAATAATATTTAAACCAGTATTCTCCTTTTCAATTTCTCTCCTCTCATTATTACATAATATTCATCATTCTGTGTCTAAAAGTTTTAATGAACACTTTTTCTTTCACACCATCTCACTATTCAAATGTCTTGCATTAAAAACACATTAAAATAGCAAGCTTTTTGTTTTTGATAAGATACATTTTCTAAGTAATCATGTATTTTACTAGTTTTACATGACCTAGGCAGTTTTCATGTTTCTACATCTTATGAAGAACAACAGAAGATATATGTATTGGTTACTTATTTTTTGTTACTCTTTCCACATAATGTTCTTGTAAGTCTGATGAATGATTCAAATTTTAAAGAATGTTTTCTCTGAGGACATAACTAATCCTTGAAACACTAAAAACCATATTTATTATTGTGTGACCTGAATTCATAATTTGACTTTCAGATGCCCTCATATATGCATGAACTGTCTCTCACATAAATAATGTAAATTAAACTTCAACTAGTTGAAAGATCATATTTTATTAAAACTTCATTATGTGATCATGATACAAGTTATGCATATTTCAAATTCATTTATTCTGCATGACTCAGGAAAGAGGTTTACCTTTATTGCTTGATTTTACTTCCACCTTTCCATATTTTATTAATTCATTTATCACAAAGACATTTTATACCTGAGAATTTTCTTCATTATGTACATCAATTGCAATTACTCCTCCCATTTTCAGTTTTTGTGGTGTTAGAGATTAAATGATTTTTCTTACAGTACTGAGATCCAAGCCCATATTTCAAAGTTTATCTAATAATAATTTATCTGTCTAAAGTTGTTTCATTAATTGTTTATACTCAATCTTACAATATCATGTCATTGAAATAATTTTATTTGTTTTTTCAATAATGATCATAAATTTTAAATTCTATGTATAAGTGAAAACAAAACTATTTTTTTTTAAATTCAATGATGCTTATATCATATTAAAATATGATCTCTTTAATGTTGTGGATATTTTTATTTACTGGTATTAAGTGGTACACTATTAAGTGGTTCATTCACATGCACTTATTTTGTAATTATATTAGTTATGAAAACCTTCACATTCAAATATGAATTATTCATGTGCTTTTATTACACTGGTAACAGTGCTTATGTTTGTAATATGAATATATACATGTGTACATACAAATAGATATAGATTTGACATTTTTGTACATCTTTTGTGACCTTCATGCTTGTTAGTACTGTAGTGTTGTACTGTAGAAAATGAAATGCATTGCATTCCAAAAGATACAAGCCCTCACTGAAGATGACTTGTGAAATTTTGCCTGAGAATAGGATGTCTCAATTTACTAATTGAGAATTTCATAATCTAACAGCTGCCAGTCTGCTGTTCTTATTCAGTATTAAAATGAAAATTATGATATAGGAAAGTATATTCATAAGAATATTACAATTTCTCACATTCACTTACTGGCAGATACCTAAAGATGGACTTGATACCTCTTCAACAGTACTATAAAATATCATTTTCATGTTTTTCTCAATTTTGAATATTGTTAGTGACAGACCATTGACAATATTTTATGATACAATCAAGAACAAAACAGTGATATTTTGAATAGATAACTTTATTTTATTTTTAAACATTTTTGATGAATGACTTTGTAAAATAGATTCATCCTTCTTGTGGTTGAACTACAAATAATACCAATCTGCAGTAAAGCAGATTGAGGATAATATTGTAAATCAAAGACCATCTATCAATCATTTTTCACAAGGCACAAAATGTACAGGGCAATACAAACATTTATTTGAATGAATAACTGAAGTAAACAGCTTTAACATTAAAATAATGAGCATTCTCAAAATGCTCTTGCTTATTGCAGTATGTACTTAAATAAGCACACAAGTAACACTCTCCTGTAAGTTGAAAACAAAATGGTAATGAAGAAAATGTAACAAAGTACATATATTCTCAAGAAAATGAAGACATATTGCCTTCAACTAATGAGTCTAATGGCTAGAAAATTAATAAATATGATTATGAAAAGAAAGAAATAATTGAAAAGTCATGATACAGTAAGCACACAGTATCCTGAGTATATAAATACTCAGTGCTTCAAATACTGATCCCTAGTCTTTTTTGGGTGTTTCTTACAGTGAAACTGAACTGAAATTATAAAAATATTGCTTTCATCTGTAATCTAGCATGAATGGCAGATAGTATAATATAGCAGGATGTAATACCTATAAGACACAATGTACATATACATCAAAAATGTACATTTAATGGGTGAGTCATGTTATGTATTAAACTTGTTGAATATGTGCACAGTAAGCATGGAGGAACTAGGCATGTATAATTTTATGAAATGCATGCATCAGAAGAAGAGAGGTAATGATCAATAATTGTGTTGTGAGAAAAAAAGACTATCTTTTTAAGACATTACTTAGAAAAATGACTGGATAAGTGGAGATATTTCTAGAAGCCAGACTGTAAATATATCCTGTGTAGAATAGGAGGACAGTATTTTCAAAAAGTGGTAGATTAATTGACATTAAAACTTCTTTTAAATTGATAGTCCAGTTCCTAAATTTATCATGCAACTTTATACAAACATAGACTTTCATAACACAAGACAAATATATCCTCATAAATTATTTCACAAGTTTTGGGGAGGATATTAAGTCTTGTATGCAACATCTATAATCCCATGAATGTCCAAACATAAGTTCAACAGTTCCAGTTTCCTTCAACATGTTAATGTAACACATTACACAACATGTATGAAATAAACAAATTTTGAGCATATTATCTTCAACAAAATGAAAATAATGATTAACTATGGTGTTCCATCAGTTGGACTAAAGTATGAAAGAAAATACGTATTCTAGATTTCTAGAATGTAATTTTGCAATTATCGATACAAACAAATAAATAACAAGATTCCATGTTTGGTCCTTCCAAACCCATTTCACTGCAGTACCAATGATCACTATTATAACGTGATAAATTCCATTGGTTGCAGAGAATTTAACTATGTATTTCTTGAAAATATATAGATTAATCAGAATGAAAAAAAAATTCAATTATTTGTATATGTGTTTTAAAACCAACAAGACGTAACTGTGTTTTAAAAATTTCCTGATGTTGTGTAAACATATTTATGCATACTTTCATGTTCCACTTGTATTTTAGAAGATCAATAAATTATTTGTTGTGGTTCATGTACATGCATGTGCATATATTTATGTGTACAATAATGTATTTAATTTTATGTTCACTGGTATGTGTTATGTGTAATAAAATCAGTATTTTTATCTCCATACATATGAGAAAATCTGTACCTGATGTTGTGAATGGAACATCATGTTCAGATGCTTCCATTCCTTACTAATTTATGTACGTACACAGACTCTCATTGCCACAAAGTTGAACTGAATCACAGGTGACAACCTTTCCAATTCCATGAGGTTAAAAACCTCATTTGCAGATGTTACTGAATGGTACTTTTCTTTCCCTTTCAATGTAACCCTTTCTTTATCCAGAAAGAACCATAATATAAAAATACACATATTTTAGAAAAGCAGTTAGATGTACAAACTAAGTTCATAAATCAAGTTAATCAACATCTTTGGTTCCTCATTTATGAAATATTATGCAAACTACATTTCCTGTAACTGGACCCAATACATGGTTGGTTCATTTATTAATGGCCTGTAAGAATTGTACCCACTTGAAGATTATTGCGGTTCTCATACAGTAACTGACACTGCAAGTTTACAAAGTACCTGGTCAGAAGGAATAAGTTATGTGGTAATAAATGTACTTAAAACTTATTATCAGAGTAAACATTTAGATGATGTAAGGCTTCTTGCAATTCCATCAAAACTTCACTGTAATAAGAGTCTGCTGTATTAGTGAATACAATTGGAATTTATGATGTTATTTTAATTTTAGTATCTATACATGAGAAAGTGATAATGAATGAACATTGGAACTCAATATTAATTTATAACTGTTTTTATATTTTAAATGATTATATTTTTTATTATCTAATGAATGACCATGAGGATTCAGTGAACTTTTCAGATCTTTTTCTGATATTTTGTCATCTACATGTTTCTCTTGCAGAAATATATTCCTCTCTAAACTGTGCCAAAATTATAAATCATGTAAAAAGTAATTACTTATAAACAATGCAACATTGTAAAGACTTTAGCATAATATAATGCTTTATTATAGGTTAATTCTGTGATAATTATTTAGATTAGAATCTTCATGCAGGAGATGTGATAAACTAAGTAGTAATTATGATATAATCAAATACTATAAAAATTGAAAAAATATATATTTTTTTTAATGACAGATTTTTCTTTCAAATACATAACACAAGAACTATCAATATTCAGTTCCTGTAACTGGATGTTAAAGACAGTGCAGTTACAGACAAGTGAGAGAGAAGATAAGAAGAACAAATTTTCAATTTGATACTCAACATAAATCTAATAATTATAGAAAAATGTGCTTAAAAAGTTTCTCTTTCTTTTAACTTATTCAAATTTTATTGAATTGAAACCATCACAAATTTGGAGGTAAATATGCATAAATTGATTGCGTCAAAATCAATATAATTATGAAAATGCTTTAAATGAAAAATACATATGATGTCCTACGTTCAAAAAGAAACATGCTTAGCAGAAAAAGTGTACTGAAAATATACATGCATCTTATTTGTAATGATTTACATTATTACATTATTGCATTTAAATTTTATTTTTGGTTAAATTTCATTTAATAAGTATGGATTATAGTATTCTTTCTCTTGTGAAAATATTAATCTTTGAAAGAAAACATGGCATTTAGCATAGTCACTGTCAGCAAATGAAAATCACATTTCTTTTTTCAAGAAAAATTAATATTTGTATAAAATACATTTAGAAACAAAATTGCAGTATAATTTTTATTTTGTACCATTCTTGCTTACTTCTTTGTACTTTGTACTGTTCATTACAGAACTTAAATTACAAATTCATTAGTTGAAAATTATGAAACAGTGGCATTTGTGGTGAATCTCATTTTATATTGCATTATAAAAAATATTTTAAAAGATCAAATTTATTTTTGAAATGCTTAATGAACACGTTTAAGAGAAGTTTTATAAAACTTTTTTCGGAGATTGTTTTTTCTAAATAAGTAATGACAAGTTGAGGAAGAAGATATTAAAGTTTTGGAAATTTTTTTAAATTTTAGAAAAGTATCTATTTGAATTTCTTTTACAATTTGCATTTGAGTTTTATTTCTGGTAAATTTTTATTTAATAAGTAGGCCATTAGAGTACTCCAGTGACATTTTCTTGTGAAAGTATTGTTCTTCTTATTGTGCTCTCACTGTGTAATAAAATTCATGCAGTAAATAATGGGAGACCGTTCAAAAATATAAACAATCTTTGTTATTTCATGAGAAATATTATAACAGAAGGAAAACGTTATGTGGTAAATAAAATTTAGAACTTAAAATGGATTTTCTTTTGCCAACAACATGATCTAGTTTTTATAGTTCACTTTTATGTATGAGGCTGGGACCATCACAATTGGTTCATCATGTAAAATGATACATAAGAAAATACATGACATTACTATTAGTGAAAAGATAAATTGTTGCTCCTGCACTATAACAAGTTAATATATGAAGGTATTTAATGTTGAAATTACTGCATTACATAGATAAATATTTTGCAATGTTGTATTCTTGACCAAAAATTCTAATTGAAAATATGTTATAAGGAGAGTATCTAGTGATACATCAATTTTACTATACTCATATGTTATACAGTGAGCTATATTGTCAAATCACTTTCCCAAATGTGTCTTTTTTTCATTTATGCTTTCCTTTTGTAATCATTCATAATATGTTATGGATTTTTTGAAAGTTTCACTTACTTTTCTTTCAATAATTTCTGTTCATTATTTATAGAGCTAATTGATGGTGGTTGATTTACTCTTAAACAAAGATGCTTTTGCAATCAATGGAGAACTAAATACATCCATTTTCATATGTTTAAAATCAAAAAGTCAAGGAATATTGTTGAGGACATTTTAGGAAAAGAAGTTTTTAAAAAATTCAACAATTTCAAATAATTATGTTAAAACCATGGATGTTATGCACAATCTTTGTCTATATGTATTTGTGGCATATATGTATGAATATATAAGCTTATGTACTCTCTGTTAATGTATATGAAGTATTAGTCCAAGTGACTCTTTTATATGTAACATGTTTGACCCTCAGGCTTCTGAACTGAAGATCATTGATACATGATCAGGAGAGAAATAGGTTACTGATAATGTAATACAGTTAATTTAATTGTTAATGTAATTGCTCACAAAGGACGTCTTGAATTTTTTCTTTTTTGTTTTTATAGTAACATATATTCTACCTCATAGAGCAGTATAAGTTTATTTATCTGTTTAGATAAGTAGTTAAAAGTCAATATTTTCTTATTTTTAAATGATGCATTCATGGTTCATATTTTGTAACTGTTTTAATCCATTTATGCCTGCAATTTTGAATTGATTTTTGTATTGCATCTGTACATATTCTATTGTTATCCTTAAATTTAGCTTTCAGAGCAAATCATTAATTTCTATGTTCTTGTTAGTGACTGTTGCTAAACATGACAAGCTACTTAACATATCGCAACATTTTATTGTTCAATGTATTAGATGACAATTATAGTAGCCATCATGTCACTCATCTTTCATAGGTAGAATGTAAAATTTATTTCAAGAGTCATAAAAACATATATAGCACAAGAACAGTTTCCACTCACTCATTCTGTTATTTGTTGTCTTCTGGACCCTTAATCTCAATCAAATGTTTTTTATGAGTTTCTCACAAAATAGCTGAATCTAGTACTGTTTATCATGTTCTAAATGTCATGTCAAAGAACTAGAAGCACTGACTGAATTAAAAGCATGGAACCTATCATTCAATTGATACTACTGGAAAATAAATTGCTTATGCATCAGTGCACCTACAGCGATGTATCCTCATATAGATGCCTTAGAAAACAAACAGTACTTGTTATCCCCTTGACTCTTTGAATTTGATTAGGTAATTGTTTCTTTGGTGCGCCAAGAGCGATTTAAAAAGTGTATAACTAAAGAATAGATTTATCTGAAATTTAATGCTGTGTTAACTTATAATATTATTCTTATTAAATAGGTGAATATGAATTGTAGAATACTGTCAGTAAACCTCTCCTTAAATAAGAGCATTCAAATATGACCTAGCAGAGTTCAAAGCTCTTTATTCCAACATTCATGCACATAATTACAGGAAGTGCAATTATTATTTCAAAGTTTAAAAGAACAAATTAATCAGACTTGTTTACAATAACAAATAGACTTCTGAAATGTCAGTGAAATGAAACATCAGGCATAAATGGGTTAGTTAATATTCTCATGTATTCATATTTTCATTAATTTATGCCGTTGCACTAATTTGATTTGTATAGAAAAATAAATTAACATTATAGATGTCATGACTATGTATATAAAATGTATATGTGAATATATGTATGTTTATGTACCAACATGTATCTTCATGGTTTGTAAAAACAGCTACAGAATTTATATATAGAATTTGAATACTTGTGGATGTACATAATCTACCAAAATGTGCATTTGTCTTACTCTCTTGCCAATGTATTTTTGTGAGTTTAATACTTTTCAAATATACTACTAATATTTTACAGCTGAAGTACAGTAAAACATACTCAAATACTGACAGCAGTGCTGTTATTGCTCATAGGTACATAGCAGTATACATATTTGCAGTATATTGCAATACATAATGTTTTCGAGATTGTGTTGTAATTTGTCTCTAAGGAATTCAGATTATTCACTATGCAATATGTATTCGAGTCTATATAATGACATGTAATCAAATGGTGATGCTCTATTGCATTGTTTCTATATCTCACTATCTTCTAATTCAGAAGAAATAGTCAAATGTACATTTGTGCTTATCTTGAATGATTTGACAACTGAATCATTTCTAAAGAAAATGTGTGCTTTCAGTTCAAAGTTTCTTCAACATTTTATTTATGCCTGTCATGAATAGCAAAACAGACTGTAATTTGTTTAGAAAAACTAAAATATTTTTAAAATGTTATTTTATAATTATAGATTGTGATAATTATAAATAATATCTTCTTTGTGATATCTCTGTAGCATTTCATTTTGGTAATACAATGAGCCATAACTGAAATGTGAGAATGATTTAAAACATCCTTTTGCTTATCACAATATAAATTTGGATGAGGGTCAGTGCCATACTCAGATGGAAAAATTGGAGCCTGATTACATTGCCCATCCTAAAATGGGAACCATAATATGAGTAAAAATAATTGCATTTCTTATACTGAATAGATGAACCGTTAAATTTTTGGTACAGCTTGGAGTTGTTGAAGAGCTGAATATGGCACTGGTTGGCCAAAAATTTATTAGTTGAAATCAGCTAAAGCTTCAACAATAACATTTTAGCAGAAAGTAATATTTTTAAAACTTTGTACAAATAGTAGTGAAAATGTATTTCAGAAATGTAACAAAAATAATTGTATACATATAAATAATACATTTTACATCTCTATTCATTCCATTTTCCTGTTAATATCAAAAACTGTGCATGATTTGCATTTATTTGCAATGTTATGTGTACAGTTTTGTGAATTTTATCATTGGGTATATAAATGGAACATGCAGTCTTTATTTCATTATATAGTTGATTTGAATGTTATTTTCTTTGATACAATCATATTTATTGAATTGTGTTTAACTCTTTTTCAAAGTTCATAACACATTTTTTTAAAAAGAGATAAATTAAGCATAACTATAAATGTTCAAAATTATTCATTGTATGGTAAAAGTAGTGTATGTTTATATTATAAACAGGGAAGGCAATGACCAATATTTGTCATCTACAACCTGCCCTGAAACGTTGTAACATGAGATCATAATTTTGTACTTAATAGAAAAAAGTCATAAATAGAGTATATACTACATATATACTTATGAATTCATGTATGTACAAATGCTAAGGCACTAGCTTGTGCATACTTGTGCATGTGTATACATACTCATCTGTACAGTGTATTGGCATTGACAAGTTACTACTTAAGAAATATCAGAGAATATAAAACAAAAAATTTAAAAAAATATTTATACATATTATTTTTTAAGAGTATTTCTGAGCATATTATTTTTAAAAATGAAATGACAATTTTCCATACCTTAAGTATGGAATAAATCATATTACATAAATGTCATTTAAGAATGTGCTTTCACTATATTTTTGAAAGATGTGTACTTAACATTTGCCCAAAATGCTATTATGTTGCCCAATCACAGTAGATAAATTTGTGTACCAATGCACTGTTACTGTGATGATACATATTCTGTAACCTGTGATTAATAATCATTAAAATAAAATGAATGGGTAATTCTTATATGTTGTTTTTTGAAACATTAATTTAAAATTTTTGGTTAACTTTTGTACTCCTGTCAGTACATTCAAACCAATATTTCCCATTTATATTTCCATTCAAACAAATATTTTCCAAGAAAACAGAAAATGAAACTGTTGGAAATAATGAAATGGTTAAGTCAAAAAATAAGATTTACTTATGAAACCAAATGCTTCCACGCCATTTCAAAACAGAAACTTAACAATTTTTAAGTACATTAAAAAAGCATGAAAAACAATAAGGATATTCTAAAGCAATAATTCTGAACCAAGGTTCTGGAAATACTGCAGTATACCATGAAGACTTTCAAGAGAGGCTGCGAAACTAGGAAGTGAAAAGTGTCAATAAATAGAATCAGATTTTCTTGTGAATAAAGATACCCTTTGCAACTACAAAACTTAAATACTGCATCCTCAATATCTTGAAAGCAAAAGGAACTATGGAAATTAATGGTACTACAGTACATACATGGACATTTTAAAGGGGTTGATGATGATCAAAGGGTCGATTCAGGGTCAACAGTCAAGTATGAACCAGCAACTAATCAAGAGAATCAATTTCTAGAATTTATTAAAAAAATAAACGATCTTGATAATTATGTTTTTATGTAAAGCAACGAAATATATAGACTAATAATAAATTATAAATTTGCTCCTCTTCTTTGGTATCCATCATTTATCCTCATCTATCTGGATCTATGTTTAGGACGTATTTATAAAACTTTGCCAGCAGAGCGCCATGGCGTCTGCCATCTGGGGGCTTGCTTGGAGGAAGAGAGCGGCTGGAATTTTAGAACGTCCCGTACCTCTCTCCCAGGTAGCAGCATTCTGGAAGCTGGCTTGGGGCGCACTGGCAACGTTATCACTGAGCGAGTGGTACCAATATTACGCATTCGAAAGCCATTATTTACAGTCCAATTATTATTAATATAAAATAATTGAATTGTTTGTTTCGACATACATTAGCGTTGGTAAATTTATGGTTATATGTACATATACCGTGCATGTCATTATCGGGAAATTACTTTCAAATATGAATAGTTCTACCTTGTGAGAGTTGGTACAAGAATTCAATTGTTTCCTTTTGTTTCGTGTCCCGCGATTTTCGGTGTCGTTACACATTGCATGAAAATATCAGTTCCACGTTGGCTGGCGTGGTGGAGTGGTGGGAAACTGTGCGAGTGTGTGTGTATATTTTAGAATTTATAAAATGTCCGAGAATACAACCCTGGACAATCCGAAATGGAGAAGGCAATTCTGGTGGAGGAGGTTCGGAAAATAAAGGACGTGGTGGAAATTAAAAAAAGTGATGCAACAACAAATGCGTCAAAGATATCGGCATGGAAAAAACACTTCTAATTTTAACACCCAACAAATGTTCTAATGGGTTTGCCAAATCGCGGATACACCGCCGATGCAGTCGTCTCCTCTCCACAACATCCTGCACGAATTCGTAAAATTCATAAAAGTCATCCATGTCCTGAAACAATACCATGTCCGCAAAGGAAAACCAATATTTAAAGCCAAAACTCAATCCACAAGATACATATACCTTGCTTTTTAGTGAATAATCTTGGTATAAACAAAAATGTTAGCAGGGTTGTAATCAGATTTCACGTCAATATGCAGGTCATGTTGCCGTTTATAAGGAATGGTCCAAAAGAGAAAGCTAAAATTCGCTATATATCCCATTGAGAAGTCCAACACGTATGCTAGGTTGCCGTAAATCAATATGAGAGTCCAAAAATCAAACAAAAATAATAATCTAGTACAACACAACCACACACGGAGGGAGTAAAAACACGCATGAGCCACGCTGGGGGCAGGTTGGAGGGCAGGCTGCAGGCAGAGGCACCAACATGCCTCTGCCAGCAGAGAGCCGCTGCAGGTAGCATGCTGAAGGCCAGCTAGCGCTGGGGACCGTTCATAAATCGCAAACCCGACCACTGGCAGACAGTCCCGGCAGGTTCCTGGCAGAGGTTCATAAATACGAGAAACGCACAAAATTGTAATTATGCGTTCACGACACTTTACAGTGCAAGAATATACTCTCTACAGTGCAAGAACATACTTACCGCAGTACAGAATCTTAAAACATGTTCTAAAAAATTCAATATTTGTCAACATTGCACAACAAAGAAGATTAGACACTCAGCTACTCAAAAGTGGAAGCGTCTTCAATTATTTAAAATAGAGATATTTATGAGAATATTGATGTACAAAATTGTTATCTTTAAGACTCTTAAATGAAATTGATTGTTATGGTTTTGAATATTGCATACTGTTGGGTACACTCGAAGTTGGGATTTGATGTCCGAATAAAAGAGTATCATTTAGTTGAAAACCAAAACGTAGATGAAACACAACAAGGTACGCGATGTTACTCGTACAAGCATGGGAACAACTGTTACTTCTAACCGCTTCTAACTGCTGCCGAAGCAAACCTATACTGCATGAGATGTTTCTCTGGGATTGACAGCTACCGAACATATGGTGCGCTATTGCCAAACGTACAAGCACGCGATTTCTACCACCTTCGCTACAGCTTTTCACGGCTCTAAAACAAAGACGCGACACTACGACCTTCATATGAAATCCGTCGTCCGAGATTGGTCACAGCGCTCACGCTCGTAACCGAATCGTGCTTTTGGCCGTGCACGTGACGATGTATACAATTCATGGGCAATGCGGGTCGGCAGATGTTGACGTAACTGACAATCAATTGGCCCAGTGCATGCCGTCGTAAAGGAAACGTAGTCGCCGCCGAACTGTTAATACCAAACTCTCATCTCCCGCAGTATAGTGGTTCGCAGGCCGTAAGGGCACAACCTTCCAAGATACAAAGTTGTGGGTCGCACAAAATACTTGTTTCATTACAATATATACCAACGTCTCCCGAGATTTTATATTATGTTCGCCTGACCCCTCGCGGAGTCTCTTCGAACTGTGGGGTTCTGGTGGGTTGTTATTTTTCAGCTTTTGACTCCTCTTCCCCGTACGAAGCCTGGAGTCTGAGTTGTTGATGGACGGGTTATGTTGTTCATGGAGAGAAGGGTTGTTCTATTAGGGTTTTAGTTGACGGGGTGGGGAAGGGGAGGGATAGGGATGGGAAGGGATAGGATGGGGTAAGAGGGAGGGAAGGGAGAAAGAAGGCGGCGGAGGTGTTGTCAACGACGTCTTCAGCTCTGACAGTCAGTTTTGTAGTTTGTTGTCAGTTCGTCTGTTGTTTGTTTGCTTTTGCCCTCTGGCTTAGGTGATAGGAGGGGAAGTTGGAGGATATCTAAGTAATGCTTTTTTCCGGGTGTTTCGGAGTGGGTTTCTGAGGATGTGCTGGTAGGGAAGGATTAGGTCTCGGAATAGGGGGTGTTGATGTATTTTTGGATTTTAGAGTTGTGGAGGTATATGAGGATTTGGCGTATTTGGTTTTGGGATCGTATGGAGTTGTAGATGTATACATGAGTGGTCAGACAATGCGGCGGATGTTATGGTTTTTGACGCGGGTTAATTTTGTGCGGTTGGTGTGGGATGAAGCGAATCAGGTAGAATGGGCACATGATAGGATGGGACGGATGTAGGAGTCGTAGGTTTGGATTTTTCTCTTGTTGGGTATATGGAGGGATTTGCGAGAATGGAGTATTAGGCATTGGTGATCTTGGTGGCTTAGACAGTAATTTTGTGGATGTGGTGGGACCAAAGGAGTCTGCGGGAAATGGTGAAGCCGAGGTAGGATATGTCTGGTGTTAAGGGGATAGGTTCGTTTGCAATGGTTGGAGGAGGGGGTTGGATGGATATGTTTAGTAGGAAAACAGATGTTTTGGGATTTGGAAGGAGTTTATGATAATGGAGTTTTGGGGAGCCCAGAGGTGGACGTTGTTAAGGGATTCTTGGAGGTAGGATAAGGATCGGTTTAAGAAACAGAAGGATGCAAGGAGGGCAAGGTCATCGACATAAAGCCAGGTTTGTACTCCTGGTGTGGGTGGGACGTCATGGAAAATGGAAAATAGTATAGGGACAGCACCCTGTGGGACGCCGGTTTAGATTGGGTAGTTGGGGGAAGTTTTTGATAGGTGGCAGATGTGGAAGGAGCGATGGCTTAGGTAACTATGAATAGGGTGTGGATATGATCGGGGATATAGGGTCAGATTTTCATTAGATTGGGTGAGAGACGGTTTCTTAGGCTTGGTCGGTGAAAATGGGAGGGATTTCTTTTCTATCATGGAGTGGTGTGGCTATGGCTTGAGGTTGAGGTTAGGTTGAGGATTTGGAGGGCCGCGGAGTGACCCTCACGGAATCCAAATTGTGTGGTGGTTATGATGGGATCGAGGATAGGTGTTAGGCGGTGGAAGTGGAATTTTTCGTATATTTTACTTACGATGGGTAATAGGCTTATAGTATGGGAGCTGATGATCCTTTCTGGTTTGGGGATTGTGGTAACGCGAACGATCTTCCAGACAGTGGGGAAGTAGGACAGTCTGAGGCAGGAGTTCAGGATGAGGGTGATCAGGTCTATTGCGTTAGGTGCGTGAGTTGGGATGGGAGGACACCATCGAGGATTTGAGTGCGGGGGATTTGCTGCAGTCTATTGTCTATTGTTCGTTCCCTTCCACGTCGTTCGTCGTCCATGTCTGTTGTTCGGGTGGAAGGAGTTCAAGGAAGTTCCATAGAACAATTATTGGAATGGTGAAGAGGAACCGTTCAGCTAGGGTTTGGTGATGGTTAGGGAACAATTGTTATGGTGTTATTGTTAGATTGGGCGAAATACGACTGGTTCCTTTTACGACTTTATGGATGTCATTGGGGCTGCATTTGTCAGACAGTAGGCCATCGTAGTTATGATTTCCTGGTGTTTCATTAGGTCGGGAATTAGTTTCTGTGTCAGTTTTAGTTGCTCTTTTGTCCTCGTCTTGTATGTACTTGTAATACGGTCGCTGGACTGGTCATGTATATGGCATGATCGTGAGAATTTCGTCGGGAAGAGTGGTGTGAGCAATATTTTGGAGTAGGATGTGGTTTTCCGGTATGTTTGTCTTATGTGGTG